TCGAACACGCGATCTGCTTAGTTAGAAGTCTAAAGTTCTAACCACTGCGCCAGGGGTTCACTCTCTTGTCGGTTCTTTGTTCGGGGAACTAATGAAGATTAACATTATCCGAGCCGGCACTGGCTACGCCACAATGCTGAAGATGAAGCAAAATTCTAAGGAGCCCATGTAATCACAAACACACAAAGCATCTACCAGGATAGGTAGACAAAATGTCTTCCGAAGGTGAACAATTCTACGCCTTTCTAACAGTGTTAAAAAATAGCACGTTTTAAGTATTCTGAGGAAACTAAATGCATTTGTGAAACTAAGGCAAAAGTAGACCAAGTTTTTGAAAAGATCATATTTTTCGATGTTAGAGTTCAACATACATTGGTTAGGCACTTTCCTAAGCGATTTTTTAGGAGTTGAACAAGTTAAACAATTAAAAGAAAAAAAGCAAAAGTGAACTCCTACAAGTCGAAATATCATATCAATAATAATCAATTAGGGGCTCCAAAATAACCTTCCAAAGTATAAAAAATATAGAGTTTGCATAAAAGCAAATATTCCTTAAATAACCTTCATACGACCTGACTACTCTGTCCTTCTTTTGAGTACTATTCGTGGATGGAAATGTCAATATTTATGTCATATGTGAAATGCATTTAAGCCAACTTCACTAACCGTTTCCTCTCCGGAAGGATCCATATCAAGGGAAGTTTCAAAATTTTCATTATCCGCCACAGGCTGCTCAGAAAAGGTGAGTAGAATCGGGGCAATGCGACTTGTCTTTTTTAGTAGTAAATTCTTCACCGTAAGTTCTAGCGTAATGCCACGACCTGGGACAAGAGAAAAGGCTTCTTTTCCTTGGAGACCATCGGCACTTTTGGGTATAGTAACCTATCACAACAGAAGGAAGATAGGTTTGGAAAACGCCTACAAGCACCTCAACAGATGCCAAGGTAGACAATCAAGCATATCCAGCGTGAACAATAATTCATATTCATTGATAGTACATTAAAAAATATCTTCAAAAAATAATTGTCGCGCGCATTCAGAACTAAGTTTAAAAAGACTTATGAGCGCGTGCAGTAGTAATTACATGAAATTATTAATGTACGTTGGATAGGACTGCCTTAAGAGGTCCTACTTGTCTTTGACTTATAATAATAGCATCCTACTTTTTCATTTTGCAGTAACCCGGCTTTCCCATTTTTTGTTAAATTCCGCCAATATAAGTTCAAATATCCACCAATAGGCATCAGTTTCCTGAGCAACAGGAGTTGCTATTAATGGAGTTGATTCTAATCAGCTCACATTTAATATTCTTTGGCCATTTTCGATGCAATTGCATATACATTTACACTCGTTAACCAAGAATTGAATGATTAACCAACAATTCCGTAAGACAGTTGGGCGGAAGGGTTAGATTTTTAGGTAGCCCTATAAGGCATTCTTGCCGTGTATTATTTTCAAAACAGCTTTTATTGCTTGTTTACGTTTTAAATGCGGATAAAGAGGTATATGCACGTTCTCTTATAGACACTGAAAACACGCTCTGGAACAAAGTCTTGTGAAATCACCTTAGATAATTTGACATCCTTGACTACTTTTCAGATTAAGTAGTAGAATTCCCACGAGCTGCCCTTCCAAATGAAGACTGGAGTTCATGTAACCGGTTTCGGTATGACGCAGGTTTGTCCAACTACGTTATGGCGGGTGCTGCGAGCAAAACGTCGCAATTTGAGATAGAATAGTAATCACTCACAAACCAACATTATGTAGGCTTGCAATACGGATTAACATGCATCCTAAGTTCAACCCTTTGAAGTCAGGCCAGGATGCCGGCTCTGTACTGGGCTTCTTTCCGACCGTTTGCAAAAATTAGATTCTGTTAAAATGGTTCGTTCAATATAATGCATTGTCATCATTGATTTTGACTGCCTTTATAAATTCAAACATATTTTATAGAAAACATATAAGCACATTTATTCCTCGTAGTCGTTTGGTAGGGAATTATGCTTCCATCACATCTTATGCCTAAAGGAGGGATATCCTTCGGTC